ACACCATTTGCACAAAGCTGGTTGGTTAAGAAAAAAAAGCATGAAATGTGTTGGGACATAAATCACAAGTCTCTCTCTCTCTCTCTCAAGCAAAAAACCACAATCAACCTTTTTAAAAAGAAAGCCTGCGGAGTGAAGAGGGGGAAATTCTCCGTTTTATTCGCACTCACTAAATGCTGATTAAAAGAAAAGAGACAATCACTCTCATTCAGCGGCGCGCAGCTGCCTCGCTGTCAGATGGCAGAGTGGGAGATTTCTGTGGAGGTGCTGAAAAGATGCCTCAGTGAAAAGGACCTGGGTTTGTTTTTCAGATGGCTCTCTAATGACTGGATGTGATTAACACAAATTATCTCACTTATCACCCGCTCAACAGGCTTAGATAGACGGTCTCTGGCTGCCATTGCTACTTAACATGCATTTAATCAGACTCAGCAGGCGGAATCGCAAAAACACACACGAGCAGCGATGACCAGATTTCTCCAGCAGGAAAAACCAGGCTCTGCACAATATTATTTTCTCTTGTATAGTCTTATTTCATGACAGTTGCAGCGGCGTTTGAAGCTGAATTTGAGAAATGTATTCTCTTGTATCATGGGGAAGCCCAAAGCGACCCTCCATAGAATTCATTCTCCTCATTTTCCTGTGATTCCTGAGTTAGCGTTTTTTATAGAGATCCAGATAAAATACCTCTCCAGATGATGACATAAATAGGTCAAGAAAACAACCGAATTTCACAAAGTGATCCAAAATGTTTGGATGTGTGGCCGACTGCGGGCTTCCGTACCAGACGGACGTTTTTGGTTCCAGTACGGCTGCACTGATTTGTTTCTTTGACACCAGATATTTGCATGTGACATCTTCTTGGTCTCTTATTTTTTAAGAAATACTTCCCTCACTTATTCACTTTCTGCAACAGGATGCATTTTAAAAACTTTTTTTCCAGGGCTTCAAAGTGCACAAACGGTCACATCTGGGTTCCTTTACTTTCTCTTTCTTATACTTCTTCTTTTGTGCAATAAAGATTCTTATCAACATTAAGGGTGCATCACTTCTGGTTTTCCCTGCTAAGAAAGTAGTTAAGCTCAGTGGTTCTCAACTGTTGGTTCGGGACCCAAGAGTGGGTCGTGGAGGCGTTTTCAGTGGGTCTGGAAAAGTCGATGAAGTGCTGGTTAAACATGTTTGTTTTCTGCCGTTATTTTTCATTAAATAAATCTGATTGGTTGGAAGAATTTCAGAAATTTGAGTTGTGATATCGCATGAAGGAACTGGTGGTTGTTCCTGAGGCTAGACCAGTTGAGAATCCACTGGTTTGGATCATCCAGCACCATTAGCTTGTTTTAATGTCTTGCTGCTTGTGTTTCTTGCACCTCTGGACTCTTTTTTATTTGTGTGTGATTCGACTTCATGTGTGAGATATGAGCAGTTAACCTGATGAACTCTCTCTGTGCTTCCACAAAAACAGAGGGTCAAAGTGACTCAAGTAAAAAAAGGTGGATTTATTGAGGACTATTTTCAGTGCCAGATGAATCCACTTTTGGGAGAATTCGGGGGCAGCAGGACATTTTCATCTGGAGTCAAAATAAATACAGTTCACTGTGAAACCTGAATATGTCACACACGGCAACAGCGTGGCTATTTGTTTTTTTAAGATGTATTTTTTTATTTTTTTAATGCCTTTATCATAGACATAGGACAGTGGATAGATTGGAAATCACTGTGGAATGAAATACGGGAAAAGAGCCACTGGCCGGAGTCAAATCCAGGCCGTCTGCTTGGAGGACTACAGCCTCCGCATGCTGTGTGTGCACAAACCACTAGACTGGCGCCCCCTTATTGATGTGTTTTTTTTAATAGCTTGTGTCCAACATTGGAGCTCTTTGGCGCATATATTGAAGAAATATCAGGCTTTTTGTAACCTGTTGGTGGGGTCGACTTAATGACGGTTTAGTCTGAACATTGTCTTCAATAACACAAAAAAGTAGTAATGTACGAAAAATAATAAATAATTGTTTGCACCTTTGGGCTGCTCTCACGTCACACCAGACACCAGTCTCTTCTGTAAACATGTTGCTGCCAGAGCGACTGAATTACCCCCCCCCCCGCCCCCCTTCCCCTCCATCAACATCTGTCTGTGAGATTATATATATTTTTTTATTATCCAGGCAAACTGAACTGTACCGAGCAGAGACCATCTGTGACGGAGCTCCGCTGTGTTTAAGCTGCTGTCGTCTCTCTGTGGCCGACCAGAATTTAACCCCTGTGACCCCGCAGGCACCCAGAGGTCAGCCCGTCACAGCCGACGGACCGGAAGTCACCGAGGAGGGCCTTTTTATTCTGATGAGGGTTATATGGCACCATGGAGGGCTGGGTGGGGGGGGTCGAGAGGGGGGGGGGGGGGGAGGCCTTTAGAGAGACATAAAACTGCCAGAGACACGCAGGGGAGGAGAGGGTTAAACGTGCAAGCTGCTTTCACTGACATACAGAGTTTCTAACAGTTAACTGAGCTTCATCTGCACCCCTCGTACACCACTGTATCTTCAGTTACATCTGCTCAGGTTCATGCCTCCTTTCTTTTTACCATGCGTCAGGCTTCATTTATCAAAACACTTCAACACACAAAACATCAAAACATAAAGACATGCTGAGAAGGAAAGGGTCCCTGTTTCCACTTCAAATAGAAAGGTTTGAACATATTCTCTTTATATTGTTTGATATGGATGTTGACATCTGACTTAGGCTTCACATGAGTAACAGAAAAATGACTTTTTAAATCATCATTTTGTGCTTTTCCTGTCGTTTGTTTTCTCAAAAGAAGCTAAATTATGACGCCGTCTTCAATTTGACGGTCGAGGGCGGGAATCTTTCCTCCTGCTTTTAAAAAATGGTAAAAACATTAAAGGGAACGACAGGTCGTCTGAGTATGTCACTTAAAAAAAAATAAAAAATGTCTGCAGTGTTCATCGATCAGCGCAGGAGAAACTGCTTCATTCAAGAGTTCATTTTTCTTCTTTTCTATGACTGAAATGAGTCGGTCACCGTCTGACAGGATAAGAATCAATCAACATGTACAGAAGAAGAAAATAACAGAAGAGTCTCTTTCCTTTAATCATGAAGCTGACTTCACATGCACTTGTAGTTTAAACAGTCACAGGCTTCAAGTATTTATCTAATTGATGCGTTATGTGCAGAGAATGTGATTTTGCATTCATAGGATTTACAACAGCAGCTGTTTTACTGGATTAAAAAACAAACATGAACAATGATTTTTCAGTTTGAACAATGATTGTCAGCATTAAATACTTTCATTTACTTTCTTTTTTATTTGTTCCGAACATGTCAAAACACAGAACACGTTCACAGACAAAAATGATTCACATTTTATCGCAATCCATGTTCGGAAAGGAGCAGGGAGAAGAATAAATCTTATTTATCTTAGTTCATTAGTGAATGAAGTTTCTGTTTGGTTTCTTGAGTCTTTATCCAAACGATGGTGTCTTGTTATCTCACTTCTGGGCCTGCCACATTTTGAATACATGACAGGATCACAAGTGAAATAAAATAAATCATGGCCGAATAAAAGACAAAGATCTGCGTCCAAGTGACAAGAGCAAACATTTCACCCCACAAATCTTTTCAAAGTAAGACTTATTCTTTTGTTATGTTGACAAAAACTTGGATAAATAAAAACCTTTTTGAAACAGCTGATAAAAAAATACAGTGAAATTCAAAGATAACATATATCAGACTGAATCTTTTTTAGAATTTGACACATTATCAAACCTGTTTCCACACCTGGTACTAACATTTAACACAAGTGACCGTAATGCAGACAAGTGTACGTAAATTAATAGTAACTGGGAGCTTTTTTGAAAGAGATGTAAACATCACAAAATCCATGAATTATGAAAGTTTTTATATTTTTTTCTGCCTTCATTGTAGAGATAGAACAGTGGATAGAGTCAGAAATCAGGAAGAGAGAGTGAGCAATGACATGCGGGGGAAGAGCCAAAGGTCGGAATTGAAGCTGGGTCGCCCGCTTTGAGGACTACATCCTCCGTACATGGGACGCGCACACTAACCACTCGGCTACCTGCGTCCCACATTATCCATGTATTATAATAAATATTATCATCAATAAAGCAGAGAGCAAATATTCATACCAGATGTTTGTACTAATGAAATCAAATGCAGATGTTTGTAAACTGAAATCCGGGGATTACAGTCCAGCAGAGAACATCTCACTCTGAATAGCACCTGACAGTTCAAGATAAACTCGTCACAGTGAACGACAAACGCTGCAGATACTTTTACATGAACAGCATGTCTGACCTTAATCTGATGAACACTGCACCATTCATCTGAGCATTTTGTTAATGATCAGCATTAATGATGATATCAGAGGTGGTGGATTTGGTGTGAGGAGGGTTGGGGTTGCATTTTTTTGTGTGTGTGTGTGGGGGGGGGGGGGGAGGTAGCATAAATTGTGTTAGCTACTTCATTGAAAGACAATAGAGGACAAGATGTTGTGTGTAGTGTCACCCACGTGCTTCTGCACCACTATTGTCTGCTTTCCTTCCCTGGGAGAGGGGAGACGGAGGGGTGAAAGCAGGAGGAGGAGGAGGAGGAGGAGGAGGATGTGGGAGGAGGAGGAGGAGGAGGAGGTTTTCTGACTGCTGTGTGTGCATGTGTGTGTGTGTGTGTGTGTGTGTGTTTGTGTGTGTGTGCGTGCATGCAGCATGTGCACTGAGAAGCACAGACGGCTCGTGGTAATTTGATGTGTGTCCCCGGGGATGTTTGATGGATTAATGCTAAGCAGCTCCCTCTTCCAAACGCACCACCTGATCTTTGGGGCTCGTGCCCCACATATAAAAGGCTGCAGTAGTGCTGAGCTCAGCTAGACCAGACATCTCTCTCTCCCTATCTCTCTCTCTCTCACTCTCTCTCTCTCTCTGCCTCTGTTTCCATCTTCATCCTCACTGTCCTCTGCTTTCTCTCTTCTCTCTGCTGCTTTCACTTACATCTTCTTTTCCCTCTTCCTTCTCTAGCTTTAAACCATCACCAGGATTCTTTTTTTTTTTAAACCTTTTTTTTTTTTTTCTTCTTCTTCTTCATCCCTTCTGTTGTTTGGCCCATCCAAGAAGGCCTCCTCCTGGAAGCACTGCTCTCTTCTTCTTCTCTCAACCATCAAGGCTGTTTTGACGTTTTTCTATGAGGCTCTAGCGATCCGGTTTGTCATCAGGGTGAACAAGATGCCACGCTCCTTTTTAGTGAAGCAGCCGAAGGTTCACGACTTCTCATCTTCCAGCTACTACCACCAGCAGCAGCAGCAGTGGGACGACTCGTACACTGTGACACATGCCATCACTGAGTCGGCCACCAACTTGGCGGTGCGTTTGAGCGAAAACGGTAAGTTGAGCTTCAACTTTTCTGCTGATTTCTGCTGATTTTTAGCTTCATATTCCGTCATTTTAGGGATGATCCACATGGTCCTTTTTTATGAGATAGTGAGCATGCATTCATGCAGCAGTGTTTACGTTGTTGTTGATGTTGTCTCTGCTATATAATCGCTCATGGAAAACCCCCTTAAAGCCCCCCCCCCCGCAGGCATTGCATGCCCCCCTTCTGTATGCTTCAGGACTTTTGTTTTGTAACTCGTGCGGATGCTAAATAGTATTCAGGTCACGCCGGCTCAATCTGCTTAACGTTCAAACCAGATCACACAGCAGCCTCTGGCTTTAATACTGTTGTGTACATGAGTGATGAGATATATACGTGCGCACACAGGAAATCTGATGCAAGCTTTTGTCAGGTCCAACTAGAAAGAAAGGAGGAGAGAGAAAACTCGTGAGAAAGCAGATCGCCACATGGGACTGTGTTGTCCTTAGATGGTGCAGTTGCCCTTGAGTCTTTCCTCTTATCATCCAAGCTCCCCCCCCCTCCTCTTCCACCCCCCCTCCTTTCCATCCACCCCCCCAACTCGTTCATCTCTGCATCTCTCTCCATCTGATCCTGCAGGATGTTAGATAGCCACAGGGAGTAGGATTGCAGCAACACAATCCATACGTGGAGCAAGGGAGAGGGAGAGGTGATGGAACGGGGTTTTTTTTTTTTTTTAGAGGATGGGTATTGACTGGAAAATAGAGAGTGCTGCAGGTAATTCAATAAAGTGCAACATGAGCAGTACAGTGGCAGACAGTAGGGTTTCATCCTCAGGATTTCTACACACAGGCTGGAGGAGGAGAGAAGAAACAATGTGTGTGTGTGTGTGTGTGTGTGTGTGTGTGTGTGTGTGTGTGTGTGGCTTTGAGAAACATCCAAAGAAATGTGTGCTTTGAGTAGACTCCCCCCCCTCTCTCTCCCCCCTTTAAAAACCACCAGCAGCATCACAGATCTTGTGTTTCGAGTTGAATAATTTGTCCCCCAGATTTAGGATGCCAGCTGTCTGCTTCCCTTTGTGTTCCAGTGTGTGTGCATGTGTGTGTGTGTGTGTGGCGTATGGGGTGGTAGAGGAGGGGCTCAATATACCATTGACTGCTGCTGTTAAGATCAGACAGAAAACCCTCCGCCAAGCACACACCCTCCCTTCCTCCTTTTTTTTTTTTGTTTGTTGCCAAATTGCAGTCCCCCACCTGTCACTCAATCTCCGCCTTACTTTCCTCATGCATACTCAGAAAAAAAGGGCACAGATGGGGAATGATCTGATTAAAATGATTTAGTGATTGAGGGGATTTTCGCTGCTTGCCGAGACGCTCTGTTTTGATCACCCCCCCCCCCTCCCCTCTTGCAACCCCGTCACAGAGTCAGATGTGATGCTTTCTCTGCTGGTGCGACAGGTGGATTTAGAGCGAGTTCCTCCTCGGGCTGTTTTGTCTCTGTCAGCACATTGTGTTTTTTCCTCTTATGGTAGCACTTGTTGGAGCCAGTTGAGGTATTGATTAGGGGGCAGAACTGTGCACCAAAGACTCATTAATATTTCATCCCTGAAGCTTGCTGAACCTGGCACTTACAAATAGCTTCCGGTATAGGTTTCATATTGATTAGAGGGCACTTTTCCTCAAAGGTTACCGAGACCATCATGAGGTGTTCCATTACCTTAATAGAAAACAGAAACAACTGTGAAACGAAGGTATTAGGTACTGAACTAATGGAGCTAGAGCTGCAACCTTTGATCAGCAAATTGAATTGATGTATTAAAAGAAAAATCCATCACCAGAATGTCAATAATTGATGAGTGATTTTTGGTGATTTTTCAAGCTTTTTAAATGTTAAAAGAATTTGCTTCTTTGTGTCATTTTGCAAGGACGTCACTTTGATTTTGATGAGCACTATTTTGGGATTAATCACAAGATAATCAGCAGGTTAATGAATTACAAAAACAAATGTAGATGGTAACACTTTAAGGTACACACATGAGCCTTTAGCGAGGTTCTTTTGGATAGCAAAGTGGCTCTTTTTTTTACAGTAATTATAAAGAATGCATTCATGCTTCATCCTACATGACTGAACTGTAAAACTACTTTGCCATTTTCTCTGATTTTCCTTCCTTAAACTTCAACGTTCTGCTTATTAGAGTGTAGTTTTTGTCCATGTCTGATGATCTCGATATCTCAATAAGCTTTGCTCAGTTTGGGTTTCTTGCCCCAAAAATGAACAAAAAGGATGTTGGTGGAAGGGGCGTTGGTAATAAACAACTTCCTAACCAGCTATGAAGAAGCAGTAGATGGAGGACAACTCCTGCAAAATCCCCCTTTGTGGAATTATTGACGATAAATTCTAAAGACCCACACTCTGATTTCTGGTGGACAAATTTAAAACCCTTACCTCAGTGTGCAAACTTTTCAACTCAGTATTGCCATTTTTTGATTAGTCCTAATTCTGCGTATCATTAATATATGCAAACCTTCGTGTTTTTGGACGTTTGAATAAATGACTCAAAAACCAAAAACAAACCTAGAAGACTGGCTATTGCTGTGTTGTCATTTTTACTGCTTATAACCTCTATTGGTTATAAGCTAAGCTAAAGTATCACAGTCGATGTAAAAGAAATGGTTTAGCAGAAAGTTAAAACGGCTTCGTCCATAGGCGAAGTAAAAAAATAAATTCCTGTAGCTGTTTGTATAAAAAGTGTAACAAACAACATATTAAATAAATGTTTTTATCGTTTTCCAGGCTACATCCACGATTACATCATCCCCTCAGTGTTGTCGAGCACAAAGGAGTCGGGTCATGGGCAGACCGGGCTCTCCACGGAGCCCCTGTACTCCCCAGGCGGCAGCGTCGGTGAAGAGTTCTCCGACCACGACATGGAGCATCCGGACAGCCCCGTCTCCAGCGGCACCCTGGAGTCCGACGTCAGCGGCCACGAGTTAGAGTCGTGCGGCATCAACGCTTTCCTCGTTTCGGATGGACGCTCTCGCCGGCGGTCCAACAAGCGGTCACCCTGGAAAGCCGGCAGCCAATCGGACAGCGGCGAGGATGCCGAGTCAGCGGACAGCAGCCCCGCCAAAGGGACGTCCAAAGGGCGCCACATGTGCGGCGAGTGTGGCAAGTCGTACGCGACGTCATCCAACCTGAGCAGACACAAGCAGACTCACCGCAGCCTGGACAGCCAGCAGGCCAGGAAGTGCAACACGTGCCACAAAGTGTACGTGTCCATGCCGGCGCTCGCCATGCACATGCTGACCCACAACCTGAAGCACGAGTGCACGGTGTGCGGGAAGGCCTTCAGTCGGCCGTGGCTCCTGCAGGGCCACATGAGGTCCCACACCGGGGAGAAGCCGTTCGCCTGCGCCCACTGCGGCAAGGCGTTCGCCGACCGCTCCAACCTGCGCGCCCACATGCAGACGCACTCGGCCTTCAAGCACTACTCCTGCAAACGCTGCAACAAAACCTTCGCCCTCAAGTCCTACCTGAACAAGCACTACGAGTCGGCCTGCTTCAAAGGTCACCAAGGAGACGATGACGACTGCAGCTCTGAGGACTGATGAAGAAATAGCTTTCTTTTTCGCTTTTCTACTTAAACACTTTTTTCAATAATTCAAAACATCAAAGTCAGAGAAAACGTCTCTTCTCTTCTCGTTCTCAGGCTTGTCACATGCATGCATCATAATCCTGCCTTTTTGATAAGCAATAACCTCACTTTAAATTATTCAGGAATCATGTATGAAACCCATAAAAGTCAGTATGTAAAATATTTTATATCGTTTTTTTAATATAAATTGAATTGCAATAATTTAAATGCCAGTGTTATTTTCTATGCCGATGACTAGCTCTTAATTTACCTCAAACTATTTCTTATTTGTTCAAATGATGAATTTGCCGTATTTATTAATTTATTTAACTATTTATTTGCCAATGTTGAAAATTATTTATTTATTATTGGTTGATGTATTCGTGAATTTTAACATGGATTTATGAGAAAAGCCATGTATTGGATTTGTTGAAAACAAAAGCCAAAATATATTCTGACTCTCTATATTTCTCTGTCTGATCAATTCGGTGATGACAATAAAACTGATTAAAATTAATAAAGGCTGAAGCTTCTTTCGTTTACTCGTTTACTTCCTCCCACAGTCCAAAGAAATGCTGGTTAGGTGAAGTGATGACTCTAAAAGATCCGCATGAATGCCTCTTTGTCTGTAACTCTCTGCCCTGTGATTGACTGACGAACAGTCCAGGGTGTAACCCCGCCTCTCGCCCAATGACAGCTAAGAATCAACTCCAGCCCCCCTTGACCCCGAACAGGATAAGCTTTATAGATTATGGAGGGATTGGACAGTATCACTAAATTTGAACAAGAACAATAATGCTTTCACCTTCACAAAAACAACTAGATGTATTTCCTTTTTATTTACATGCCTGTCTATCAAATGCCAAGCAGACATTTTTTAAATAAGTCACATTTTTCCACATGTCACGTCCAGATCTTATCTGCAAACTGTCACTTTTCATTGCTTGAAAACTGGTTAGTTCAGACCAAAAGGCGGGCGTGTCATCGTCCACACTATCATTGTGCACTGGTTAAAGGCTTTATATGCGTTTTTTTGATTCAGCAGATGTCGCCCTTGAGCACCAGCATGAAACCAAAACAACTTGCGGTGCATTGTTGTGTTAGCATGCTAATGCTAGCGATCTTTATTATGCTGGTATCTTCACACTGCATGTAAATTTACCTGAAATGAGCGTGATCTAGAAACACAGTTAAGCAGTGAGTACAGTATGTTATTCTTCTTTTCTCTAGTCCCTCAATTAAACAACTTTTATACTCGAGGGGAGGAGTCAGCCGGCTGTCCAGGCGATGTAAACAAACTGAAGATAGGACTCTGAAAACTCTGAAAACATCACAGACAGTGGGACTCGGGTGTTACACCCATTGTAGACAGTCATGACTCACAGAGTTATTTTCAGAGGATATACTTCATTTATATTACATTTAAGTGTGAAATCGCATATAAAGCCTTTAAACGCAACCAGTGAATCTACACCACTGCAGATTAGTCAGCTCACCAAACACTTCTTCAAGTATTTTGTCTGGGAAGCTTGACTGCTTTTTCCACTTTATGGTCATCAGTGCCAAATGTGATGGCCTGTAAGCAAGGTCAAGCTCTGCTTTGTAAGAGAATTTCTCTGATGAAAACAAACTATTGTGTTCGGTTTCAATCCTAAACCTCAAAAGCCTCTTTATTATTTTAGATATGTATTAAAGGGGTCCAGATGGTGGCTTTAAGGATTGCTTTGTTAGATATCTGCAAGTGAGCATTTTTGAAATGGCTTGTTTTTTGAGTGGTAGGTCGGACTAAACATGCTCAATGCTATCTCAGGACTGATAGGCATTGCAACAGTGTCACCCAAACTTCTCCCTCATCATGAAATGTAAGTCTTTTCAAGACACGAGTTGAGTCTTCTGTATGATTTGCTTCTTGCCATAGATTTCGTATGTAGACTGACAACACATCAACTTTGCTTTTGAAGTAAACATACACTACCTGACTAAGAGTGTTTCTCTTCTTTAGCGCCCAGAGGCTTGAATACATGTACACAATGATTAAGTTAGTCAAGGGACAAAAAAGTTTAGTGAAGCAGAATAATATTTTCTTTCTTTACTAGTGTGATCTTGTGACTCTGCTTACGGTGCATAGATAAAGCTGCTACAGGTTCATCCTAGTTTATGTTGGTAATGATCTTCAAAGTTAGAACCTCTAAATTAATCATAGGTTGTTAAAAAGGTAGAAATTATAGAACATATTTCATTCCCTTTTAGCTAGTTACTCTTGGACATTATTCCAGTACCTGCTGCGCCACATACCAAAGAATCGGCAAACACGCTAGCAAGCGACAAACTGGTCGTTTAAACAATGAAAACTTTACAGCTCTGTACATTTTGGCTGACACACCGTAAACCGTGTCTCCTCGTCTGTCCAAAAACGTGTGGTTCTCCCACCCACTCAACATCTTGACATCTTTGTCTTCTTTTCTTCCCGGATTTTTTCTACGCATTATCCTGTTTGACTTTTTGGGTCCAAACCCAGTACGGGAACTGTGTGCCAATCCCCGTTGTTTTTGTTGTGTACTGAATGCTGATGCATGAAAAAGATCAATGTGTTTGTCATAACAACCACATGAGATGCAAACCTTCAGCTGAGGGTGTCGGCAGCACCCATCTACAGCCTGCCTTCCTCCCACCATGCTGCTATGTTAGGAGGTTCCTTATGATCCAATCCCGCTCAAGCACAGAGCAGGATGTGCTCAGGGTCAGGTGTCATGAGAACTGGACTGCTGGTCCAGACACAACAAGGCCTCATGGGAAATACAAGAATGTGTCTCAGTAGACCAGTAGGCTATTCTCAGATACAATGGCCGCCATTAAAAAGACATTTTCGTGTCTGTAGATCCATATACTGTACTTACAATGTGCACTCACAAACACAGACTTCAGGAAGAACAGGGTCAACCCGGCCTGATGGGAAGATAAAAATACACCACGCGGTGCAGAGAAATTGTTAAAGTGAGGCTACATACAAAAGGGGGACAGGAGAAAAACTTGAGATGATAACTGCTGGATGTGAAACGACACAAAACCACTTTAATATGTCTGTGTTGTTCGTTAAGCGTGTCATCTAAACAACCCTGAATGCACATTTTTATTGGTTAAGAAAACCTATAATTTAGCACTAACACATGAGGGTGGAATGGGAAGTCATTAACAGAGGCGTAACACCAACAAAAATAATAATATTTCTATGGATAGTGAAACAAGGAAACTCATTGACCTGACTTCACTACACAAACGAACTAAAGCGATCAACATGGACGTTGATCACTGCTGCCATCAATAACGGATGCGATGGGGACAGCGGACAGTGAAGGTGACGCTTTTCGATTTATTCATTTATTTATTTTAAAGATTTATTTTTGGGTATTTTTTGCCTTTATTAGAGAGACAGGACAGTGGAAAGAGTCATACACCAGGGAGAAAGAGAGTGGGGAATGACATGTAGGAAAGGAGCCACAGGTCGGACTTGAACCCAGGCCGCCCGCCTGGAGGACCGCTTTTTGATGGTATTAAAACAAGGTTTGCCTGCTATAATGAATTGTTCTCGTCTGTGTCCGTTACTTTGTAATACCTCAGATACAGTCTGACTTTGGAAAGTTTAGCTTGTGCCAAACATAAATGTTAATGATACACTGAGTGGTGATTCTAGAGTCTGGTGGGGCCCTTGGCAAAAATAATAATAATAATAATAATAATAATAATAATAATAATAATAATCTTTATTTATAGTACTTTTCAAAAACAAGTTACAAAGTGCTTTACAAGGACAGTAAATATAAAAACAGGCAGGTCATAGAATAATAAACAAGGCCAGATTAAGGAATAAAAATCACTTTAAAATATAAAATCCCTTTTAAACGAACTGTAAAATACATACAATTCTTTTAAAGGAATTCTAAAAAGTGAAAATAGTAAAAAAATTTAAAATCAACAAAAATCAGGAAAGGCTCGCCGGAAAAAGTGTGTCTTAAGAAGGGATTTAAAAGAGATGACTGATTCTGCCGACCTGATCTCCTCGGGCAGGTCGTTCCAGAGTCTTGGAGCCCTCACGGAAAATACTCTATCCCCTTTTGTTTTTAATTTTAAAATCAATAGAGGGCCCTCCAACCGGCGTCCATTACCATCATGTTTGCAAGTGTCCCGACGCTTACTCCTCATACTCTTTTTTGTTTCTTTTTTCCTCTTCTGTAGAAGGATAATTCCTCAAATTTTTTCTTTGTTGACTGTCATTGGCTAACTTTGGTTTTCACAGCAATAATGCACGTGAAAATGATCAGGGCAACTAGAGTGAGTGCTGTCAGACGGCGCCCCCTTAGGGAGGTTTTGCACATTTTAGGCCACTTCTTTGGTTTAAAGTTTGTCAGCCCTCAGGGGGCCCCTCTACTGGTCTGGGGGCCCCAAACAGTTGCCTGCCTTGCCTGTTGACAAGTAACACCTCTGGATACACCCATGTGCAACACAAACAGGACTTAAGTATTCAATCCATTGGATCTGCAGAGTCCCTCTGCACCTTTAAGAAAAAGCTAAAGACCCAGCTCTTTCATGAATACCTACTAACTTAATGATGATGGTCTCCATATTATTGATGATGATGATGGTAATGACGATGGTTTTTGTTTGATGACAATGACTTATAAGATGGTTTCTATACTGATTAGAGCTCTCAAGAACTGCCCTCAATGTTGTGCTTTGCCTCTGGTCACTTCCTGTCAGCACCTGTGTGTCCAATCAGACTCAAAGCTGATCGTTTGCTCTTACTGACATTGTTCCCATTTTTTCTAGATCCTTGCTTGTGTTGTTCTTACTCTCTGATGTACGTCGCTTTGGATAAAAGCGTCTGCTAAGTTAATTTTAGACTTGTAGAAGTATAGATGATGCCCAGGATGTGACTTTGTCGGACGCTCAACTGGTGCACTCGGCTCCAGGAGGATCAAACCACCAACCTACCACTAGGTTCACGTCCCGCTTTATTCCAGAGCAACAGTCTCTCCAACAGAAACTTATCACTCAATTAGTAACTTTTAATCATTCATCATGTACACATGCTCAACCTTCACCTAAATCCACACTAGGACAAAATGACAGATGAGAAATATACGGCTCACTTGACCTCTTTAAGCCCCATCCTCAGACGCAGAGAAGAACAGAGTCATAAAAATAAGCCATCATGCTGTACCGTACATGTCGGCAAACATGAAACTTCCTCCTCAGACAAAGGAGCGGGAGCATTACTGCAGGTCATCACTGCTTGCCAATCAACATGGAGGATATGGCCGCCGTATCCAAAGCAGGTTGAATGACCTCAAGGCCTGAAACGGAAAAAAGTCTTTTTATAGCCGCCTTGATCAGATCCCAAGCCTTGTCCGTTACAT